GCCACTTGTAGGCCTTATTCAGACTTGCCGATACTTGGCTGCAACTGATGACGATTTGTTTGAGGTTTGTAGAAGAGAGTACTATTCAGTGTTATAATCCACAGCAGCACTTCAATTTCAAGATATCCAGTACTCTCAGAAAAGAAAAAAAGAAAAAAGGTGTTGTTAAGTTATTACTTCTCTGTTTTTTCACTTATTCCAACATATACTAACATCACAACCTGATAATTCTGGTATTTCTTCACAGAGAATTCAGTTGCTGTATAGACCATCTCTGAGACAACGGACAAGTGGCAATAGCTTCATGTCTGTCACTGAAGAATCTGAAGTTGATGGAATAGAAGGCTCTAGAGAAGGCCAGGGAGACCAAGGAGCCAATGTGACTCCACGACCCTACAGTGACCCTCCCCCTAAATATACCCCCCCACCATCCTATTCTACTGCTACTGGTGTCAGGCAAGTGTAATTGATATCTATACCAATAAGCAAAGATAATTTCTGAAGATCTGTTCCTTATTTTTCTGTATTCAGTTAAGTAATGACTAATTTAACTAATGTCAGGTTTTATTATAAATACAAACTTATCTAAATGTATAAAATTCAGTAGAGCTGTAACTTTATGGCATTCCCTGAAAAAGAACTGGATTTTATTTTTTCCACATGCTATCACTTTAAAAATTCCACTACAGATTTGCAAAACTTCTGAACCAAAGTTTACGCCAGAGCATGCGCCGCCTCCGTGATACATTGCGAAGCAATGCAGAAACAAATGTAGCAACAGACACTGAGGCAACAGCTCAGTTGGAGGAATGCCAGACAACTGAAACACAAGTTAGAACATCAACACCTTATATACCACCACCTGACTATGTAACGGCGGTTAGTGAGTGTGCTCCAGATCGAAGCCAGAGTTCTACCTCCACAGAGCCTCCTCCTAGGTACTCTACGCTGGACCCTCTGAGACGGCAACAAGCCCTTGCAGCCTTGGGGAACAGTCTAGCTTCTGGTTCCCATGACAAGGTAGATGGGGACACTGACCAAGCCTTACCAACAACATCAGAGTTGCAACGAGACAACAGCCTGCGCAGATCAGGGCTACGTCGTAGCATTGCATCAGGTGTCCGCAGGAGTGCTAGGCGCTTGGCTGCAACACTAGGGGTTGGAGGTGGTGAGGATGGTGCTACATTAGTCAACAGTGAAGTGCCTCTTAGTCAAGATAGTCAACAAGGTGGAGAAAATGAGGAATCGCATCCTTATGCTTTTACCAATTTTGAACTTGTTTCTCAGTCAGATGCATAAATTAGTTGTAAGGTTACTTAAATGTTCCCAAAATGAAAATAGGCATTAATATTTATAATGAAAAATCTGAATGTTATCTGTTGTTTTGATAGTTTTAGATTTTATTGTAGGCTAAGTTGCCCAAGTTTATTACTAGAAATTACAAGAAACTATACAGTGCAATAGAAAAATGTGCTTCTTTTTGATATTATTGGAGAGTTTCATATAAATCACCCAAAGGTGATCTGTTTTAGTACATTGCAGTCATAATGTACCAAAAACTGCTACAGCCTTGGGATGAACAATATCTAAAAAGATAGAAGTTTTCCACATTCTAGAGACAAAAAAAAAATTGCTTTTACATGTGGTGCTCTTCATCTTGAATTGATATTTTGCCTAAATTAATATATAAACAAAACATCTGTGATATTTAAGAACTTTTTCTCAGACATGCTGTATCACCGAAGATATAGCTGTCAGTGATAAATACGTGGACCATACACTGGATTGGCCTATACGCTTAATTCCTTAAAGTACTTTGATGAACTAGGAGCAGCTCTTATTCTTTCCAGGTGCATTAAGAGTCAGTACTTTGTCTTTGAGGTTTACAAAATTCTAAAGTATCAGTAAAAAAATAAATAAAAAATTAAATACATGTATCATGGGTCTTTCACAAAACAGACTCTGCATGTAGTTATTTTCTGACCATTGCTTTTATTGATTTTTTTTTTTTTCACTGCAAAAGCCTCATTTGCTAAGTATTGACAAGTTTAGTTAATCCAAGGAAAAATTGCTAATGAGAAGTAAGGGGAGTGCAAATGCTACTACTGCAGTATGTCCTGGCTTCATAAATTTGTGCCAAACTCCAAATAGTGAAGCAGAAATTTGAGTACTCCATAAAGGAAAGGTTTACTTGGCTAAGAAAATCTTGTTTATAGATGGCCTCTTTAAAAGTATCACCTAGTAATATTTTGCTGCTGTTGTGATGGGAAAATAATAAATTGGCAAATTTTTTGTTTTAAATATGAACTACAGCTTTGAATGGTGTGCTCTGAATAAGGGCAATTTCTGACGTTTGGACAATGCCTACTAAGAAAATTGTACAGCTTGAATTTTCCAATGTTTTCAATGTAAACAGGTCACACATTTCTCACATAGAATGACCATATTGTTGTTTGTTGTACTGGATTGTTAAATAAGTATGAAATTTAGTGCTGATATTATATCTGCGGTGATAAAAAACTGATTTTGCCAGATTATACGACATACCTTTGGCATCAATTGGTTACAGCTTAGTACAGGGTGTGTAATGTCATGATATCCACTCATCATGGTTAATCATATCTCAGTGATGGAAGTTAGTACTATGTTTATTTTGTCTTTTCATAAAATTTCCTATGCAGATTAACTAAAATCCATTATATATCACCAAAGATAGAAGAGAAAGTCAGTACAGTTCCTTACCTTTCAATGTGAGGCATGTAAGCATTTATATAAAAAGCTTCCAGTTTACCAGTCTTCCAGGATGACTGACACAATATATCAGTGCAAAAGTGGAAGATCTGTTTTTCTCTATCACACACAGAAGTTTATACCTTGTATGTTTCAATGTTTTAATCTATTTTTTTTCTTTTTTGACTATGTAAATATGTGTATAAAAAAACAAAAAAGAAAAAAATTGTATATTGTGATCATAAGCTTCATAAGCTTTTTCTGATACTCTCTCATTCAAGGAGCTGCCAGCCATGCGAGTGGTAGGTAGTGTTATGGATATAGCTTTGTGGCTCAACCATATATATATCCACCACTGTCACAATACCTTTCTCCTCATAGGTTAATTCCAATCTATGGCATCTTGTACTTCAGATCTACAAAAAAATAAAGAAATAGTTAAACAAATAAAAATTCCCCGGGAATTGTAGCAGGGGGAACACCAAAGTTGTAAGATTGTGCTTTCGTGTTAGGGCATCTCTTCTAGGACCTCGTATGTCGGTGTTCTGCTCCGTCCAATAATCACATGTACTTATTTATTAATAAAAGTATGGTGAAGAAATGAAAATTCTTATTTTCCTAGCTGATGCGTGATTTTGCTAATTATTTCTTATTGCTAATTATTTCCTATGATCGGGATGACCATCATCAATGTTTAAATGTGAAAATAAAATAAATGTGCTACATCAAAGGTAATATACTATGGTAAAGTATTGCAGTTTGGGTGGTTGAGAGGATGAGGTATGTGGAAAAGAATCAGGTTTTGGAGGGGGTTTTGGTTTGGGTGGTTGAGAGGATGAAGTATTTTGGGTAGGGGTTAGGGGAATATAAGGAGGTAGAGCAACTGAATGAATTGCAGTGTATCTGTGTCTGGAGGAGTAGGGACTTTGATCAAGGAAAACAGAGGTGGCTGTTGGAGGAGTAGGAGGAGAATCCAGGGGCTGAGAAAGGGAGACTGGAGAAGGTGGTGAAGTATCAGGAAGAATATCTGGAGAAGGTGGTGAAGTATCATGTCACTGTTGTGATTGAGTATGAGTATTCAAGTGGAAGCATTAGAGAGGGTGGGGTATTTTGGGAGGGTGTAGGAAGAAGGGGGGTGGAGGGAACTTGGGGAGGAGGAGGAGGATGGATATCTGCAAATACTTTAAATGTAGCAGGAGTAGGAACAGAGGAATTGGGGGATGGATGAGGGAGCAGAATGTTCCCATGGGTCATCTTAAGAAGTTTTGGATGTCTTCAAGGGTTTTCTGGAGGGGAATCGGGTAAAGGGGACTGAGAAACAAAGGTCTCTTATAATGACGAGGAGATAGATATCTGAAGAAAAGACGAAGAGGGTGTAGGAGAGGATGTAGTAAGAGAGCGTGGAGTGAAACGTTTAGGTTGCCTGGTACAACTAAAGTAAGGAGGAGGGGTAGGTATCAGGGAAGTGGTAGAGATTGGAGTATCTGGATTTAGAATGGAAAACAGCTTTGACTGGTGAATAGGGAGAATAGACATAAGATGTAGGTTTAGGGTATAGGGGAGAGATACCTGGGGAGATGTAGAAACATCTTGTGTAGATGGTGGGGGAGCAGAGCATAAGAATGTTTTGGAATAAGTTGAGAGAGAAAAACCTTATCGTTGTTCTTTCTGTCTGGTCTCATGTAGAGTCAGGCTTATTTAAAATCTGAGGACTGCTACATTTCAACTTATAGGCAACTCCTATAAAAATAGGAGTCTCCACAACTGGCACATGTACGTGACTGAGCAGGACAATTTGAACAGTCATGACCAGGTTGGGCACATAGAGGGCAGTGGGCTGTGGAGCAACAATGTTTGGCAGGGTGGCCAAAACGCCAACATTTCTGACACTGATGAGGAAGGGGTCGATATTGTCAGAGATGAGAAGACAATCCACCAACATAAACCTCATGGGGGAGGTCTTGTCTATGCAAGCTAATCTTGGCAATATTGATGTGGGATTTATGCTGGCCTCTGGGCCAGGTAATTTTCACAGTCTGACCAGTCTTTGTTATACATGGGACAATCATTTGGGGGAATAGAAGCAGTTCCAGTACAAGTATTAAGAGATAGGTGAGGTTCAGCAGGAATGGGTTTGCCATTAAGGGTAGATAGTGCATGAGCTTGGGCTTCAGAAGTAACCGTGACAAGGCATGAATGATCAGAGTGACTGCGAAAGGTAATTGCCTTTCTGGAGGTCCTGGTGAAAGAGAAGTGTATTCTCAGAATAAGGGGCTGTGGGGGGAATCACAAAGAATCGATCCCACTTGGCTGGGCCAAAGAGAGTACTCAGAAGGTTTGCAGAGGTAGAGGCAGTAGAAAGACGAGGGCGAGACGAAGATGGGGTGGTGTGGAGTGGAGTAGTTCTGCAGGGGGGAGGAAAATAAGGATGAAGAGTAATAAGTAAAAAGCGGGTTGACATTGAAGAGGACTGTGCAGCAGGAGATGAATAGGAGAATATTGGGGATGAGGAAGAGGTGCTTTCTAGGGATTGAGTAATAACCTGGGTGGGTGTTTTGTAATGGTTAGTTTTGTTTGTAAGCGTCGAAGAGGGGGTATTAGTATCAATGGTCAGAGCTGTGGTCAAAGGAGGGGCATGGGTTAGAAAACCATCAAAATCAAATTCAGATAGGCTATTTGATGAAGGGGCAAGTTTTAATTCTCTTATTAAGGGTAAAGAATCTTCATTACTGGCCATGGAGAGCCTGAATAAACTGGGGAAAAGAAATGGTCTACCCCTCAAGGTCCCCATAAGGGGTAAGGGCTAGGCAATTAACCAAGGGAATACCGTGCCCATGACTCCCGGAGACCGTTTGTGACTGACACAAAGCTAGCCTTTCATCCTTTCAGCACGGCTCTCACACCTTAGAAATGGGATAGAGGAAGGGAATAAAGAAGATACGGAAGAGGAAGGAAGAGAAGAAAGGACCAAGCAAAATTAGTTGAGGCAAGGGCTGAGGCCCAAGGTATAGGTGATCCCCTACATTGGGTCTCAGTTCTCATCTCCTAAGCCCTCCCACGACGACAATGAGCTAGGTTTTGGGAGGGATCACATCATGAAAAAAATTGGATTGAGGGGAGGGTGACATGAACATACTGTTATGGAAAAATTTGGCTGAGAAACACAGGAAATTAAAATTACCCTGCCTTCTATGCTCTTGGCTGCAGCATAAAGTTTTCAAGCCTACTTTTGAAGGGCTATTTCTCCTTAACAAATGCAGCCAGGGACCAAACAAGTGCACAACTTAAACACAAAGACATCATCCATCTTGACATGAAGGGTGGTCTACCATGGCATGATAGGATATAATCCTGGCACAAATGGGTTACGGACCCCCGAGATACATGGGCAATTTACGGTTTATATATAATTAGTAAATGATACCATGTTCATATATATAGAGAAAATATTACACAGAAGTAGTGCAATTAAAGAGTCTAAAAGATATCCACAAGAAAGAGGAGGAAAAAATTAAAATCATTTGCTTCCAATAGCGTCCATGTGCTCATTATTTCACATAAGCATTTACAGTTACAACTTATTATTTGCAAGTACAGTCTGCAGTGGATACCTAGCTACATGGTATACAATGTGTGGAGCTATCTTCTTGAAGTCCAAAGTCAACGAGAACTGAATGATGATGTACAGTACTCTAGTTTCTTCATAATATTCACAGAAACAACCAAAGTCACTACTGCACTAATTAAGGATATATATGCTAAATATATGAAATATGTGCAGGCATTGTACATCAAAGAATTTAAAAATCATAACAGTTATGCTTTTTTGACTAGAAAAAGACTCCATTTGTATCTCTTTCCAGAAATTAAAAATTATCAAAATCATAGAATATCTAGAGGCCACAGTACCTTTGCAAAGTTGCAAATGTACAGAGGAATTTTCTGCTCATGCTGCTTCTTTACATGGCCTTTATCTGAACATATTTCTTGAATTTTCTTTTTTAAGTTTACTGACTTTTTGGCTTTTTCCTTAAATCTTATATCATTTAAGCTGACCAGAATTCTTCTTTTTGACAATGACCAGCTACAGGTTACACTGTGTTTACAGTTTACCTCTGTGACCTGGCACTTGAGTTTCCTTGGGTGTATGATATTCCATCAGACTTCTAATTTGACTTGTGTTGTGAGTGTTGTAGTAGTTGATATCACAATGGCAAACTAGCACTTCAAGGTTATGACATAGTAATGGGGAAAGAATTTGGCCATCATGAGTTACTACCTTGAAATGTGTGATTTTATAAATTATGTCCTATTGCTAATTATTTCCCATGCTCTAGATGACCATCACGTCATGAAAAAAATTGGATTGAGGAGAGGGTGATATGAACATATTGTCATGGAAAAATTTGGCTGAGAGCCTGGGTGATGGGGAGTTGCTGTCATGAGAATTTCAGCTGAAGGCCAGCATAACTGAAATGACTCTCCATGAGTACATAAAACTGGTGGGTGACTAGACTCTGGGTATTTAAGATGGGTTCTTGCATCATGCCTATCAGGAATTGTGGAATGTACCAACTGTGAGCCATAACTGGAAGAGCACCAGATTCAGAGAGGACACTATATCCTTGCTCAAGATCCTATTCCTGCCCACCATGACTGGCAGCACAGGTTGTATTACAGGAAATTTTATTAGAAAAAAGAAGACTAATAACAAAAAAATTGCTTATTGTTATCATTCTTGGGAGATGATCAAAAGTGTGTGTAAGGAAA